TCTGTGGCAAAGTCACTACTCAAATTTTGTACGAGGATCGGTTTCCACCCAGTTGAGATGTCACCCACTGGCGGAAGAGGTACGCCTAGGACCAGGCGATGCAACGTGATTTGAGACGGGGCGTAGAAAGGGGTGATTCCAACGGTGCGATCTGGGACGAGGGACTGGATTGAATCGAACGACCACTCTGAAGGCTGATCAGAGGCAAGGATGTGGATGTTGAAGCAGAATCATTTTGAAAAAGCATCGGAGTGCACACAATAAACGGAAGAACATATATGGCCGGATTGTACTGTGTCGATCCTCAACAATCTCGAATTGGGCATCAGATCGGTCATGTTCCTGTGGCAAAGTCACTACTCAAATTTTGTACGAGGATCGGTGGCCACACCTTTAAAGCGCCGCTTACTGGTGGAAAAGGAGGCCATGAGACTCGGCGATCCAATACGGAGGTGGAATATGATCTTAACGGGATCGGCGAACCGGTCCAACTGTCGTTAGACTAATGGGTGTGAATCGACCTGGGACGGAGCGATCTGGAACGATTTACATGGAACAATCTGGGACAAGGATCTGGGACCGGGTGATGGGATATGACTCTGCGACGAAGGTGTAACACCTTGCAGAATGTTATGGGGCGATTTGGAACCAGACGTCGAGATGAAGTCATACAGCTCATTGGAATGCCGGTCAAGAAGAAATATACGTACATTGAAGCAGGCTAAGATCAGATCGCAGATCGGCATGTTGTGGCAACGGTTTGTTGGAGAATTGACACATTTGGGACAAGGTGACTCCCCAAAGTGCATCTGGGACCAGGTGGTACAGGTCGGTGAATCGGCAAAGAAGGTGCAACACCATACGGATCGGTGATACTCTTTACCGATCCTAAATTGGGAGTACTGATTTTGGTTAATTATACGCCGATCTGGAAGTTTTGCATACTCAGGGGAGTCAAGGAAACCGATGTCGAGACGCATGAATGAAGTGGTCGATTGGATAACACTGTTGGATGATATTGAAGCACGTATGAGGAGATGAAAAAGTGTTAATTGCCGATTTAGACCGGATCGACCTCCAACATCTCGATATTGGATGACAGATCGGTCATGTTCCACACTGATCATGAATATATGGTTGATGAAGACACTGGATCATGTGGAATATACTTGGTAGAGGTCACTAAGTGATGTCAAGAAGTTTCATGCCGAAAGAGCCAGTGGAAGCTGTCCGAATTGACGTCGCAAAATGGATTTAGACGCATTCGGCATTTGGGCACTATTTTGGGCTTTTGGGTGCCAAAAATGGGTATTTGGTACCCCATTTGGGATTTGGTCCTCTTTTGGCGTTCAGGTACGGTATCGGGAATATTGGCGCTATCATTGGAGTACAGGGCACGAAATTTCGACACGTGGCAAGGGGGCGATCCAGATTCAAGGCGATATCGGTTTGAAGAGTGACCTACAGTTAAAAATAGGCTTAAGGGTAGGTTGGATAGTAATTTGGTTGGTTAATAAACAGACTTGAACTCTACTTCTTCTGCTCACGACGCACGTTATCCTCCCCTCTTCTCCAGGCAAGATTGATTTGGCTTCCCCGGCGGGTTAAGGCACGTGTGTTACAGGGACACAGAAGACCGATCTTGGATTGTTGGCCAAGATCGAGAAGAGCGATCCCGGGATATCTGGCCCGGATCGATCAAGTACTCACACTCAACTCAACTGCTAGGGTAGCAGCACACAACGGAAAAGGAAAAGGATTTTGGACACAGGATCGCGAGACGGCTCAAGTGGTCAGAAGATCTGGACAAGGCGTTCAAGACAAGACCGAGCAGGATCGAAGCGATCCCCCGGACAGATCGGCACGTTTCATTTTGGCGAAACAAGACACCGATCTACCCAGATTGCGCCCTTCCGGCAAGATCGGCCAATCCCAAGACCAGATCGGACCGATCCCAAGGCAAGATCGACGCAGGACTTTTATTTGCTGAGTGAAGATTTCCGCACAGCAAAGACCCCGATCTCGAAGACAAATCAAGATCGGTGCGATCCAAGATCGGGATCGCAGAACCCCGTTCGTGGTGTGAAGATTTCCGCACCGGAAGCGAACCCTCAACCCAACCTCTCAGCGAGATCGACATCTCCCAAGGCCGTTACGAAGAGCTCAAGCCAGCCCAACCGACGGGTACACAAGGTGAGCACAAGGTCATACAACAAGGCACGGATCGGAGTACCCCCTCCGTGAGTCGGCAAGTCTGGGCAAGTGGAAGATCGACACTCATACAAGCAATTTTGTGAGATCGACTTCACCACAATGGTGCGCGTGCCCGGATCTTCTGAGGCCTCTGGATTTCACCGTGAGTCCACTGGCGAAGATGTCAAGATTAAGCAAGAACCTGGGATTGAAGTGTCAGCGACAAAGGGATCGACGCAGACACGCAGAAGCACAAGATCCTCAGATCATCAGAGTTTTGGGAGGGGCTCTGATGAAATGAAAATGAAAGAGGAAGATCGAGAGATCGATCTGGAAGATAAACCTCAATTCCCTCCTAGGGTCCCTTCGGGGGCCACCGCAGATCGCTCTGCAAAGAGCGATCTGCTGGATGAAAATCCAACGGTGAAAACCAAATCGGCGAAAGCCAAACCCTATATCTTAGTCGATAGATCGCCCGACCTCAAGCCGAAGAGCACAATCGCGAGATCGACCACATCAGAACGATCCGCGACGAGATCGATGGGATCAGATGTCAAAGATCGCCAGATCGGCCGAACCGTGCAATCAAAGATCGGAGCCAAAGAGGAATACGATGAAACACCAGATAAGATCGCGATGCCAAAGACGGAATATAACCCAATAAAGATCGCGTCCATGGAGAAGGAGACGACGGGTGAAGCGCGGGAGCGTGCAAAATGGCAGTACTATTATGGCCAGTTGAAGACGCTGCTCAAGACGGACCCAGTGTTCAAGATATTAAGGCCCAAGGTGATTGGTCCTCTGGATAAGCCGATCTCGGTCCCACTTCACCGGACCAACAAAGTCGACGAGATCAATGTGATTTTGCAGATGTTGGACGACATGGGTATCTGCCCTGACGCTTTTGATGGAGATGAACTGCTGAGTTGCAGCTTGGAACAGTTGAAGGACGCGGCGAACGAGTTTGTAGAGATCATGATAATGCTTGTGGGCAAAGCGAATACTCCTGAAGACAAGATCGGGACGCCCTCGGACTCGCTCTGTAAACACCCCGCGGGATCGCCCCGCTACGCCTCGGATGACTCCGAGAGCGAGTCAGATGGATCCATCAGCATTCGTCAGATGTCTCTAGGACCATCGGGTGGAAGGTTCTTAAAGGACAAGATCGGACAAGCCAAGATCGACGCCTATAAGGGACAAGCCAAGAGCAACATGCCGCAGAGATCGGCCAGTACCCGCACTGGGCTGGAGGATCAAGAAGAGGGCGATCTAAGTCGGTACTTCAATTCAGCCATGAAGAAGTACGAGGCGGAGCAACGTACAGCTCAGCGAATGAATCGACAGCCAAACCGCTACCCAGATCGACGTACTTTGCTCCAACCTTCACACGAAAGCCTTGACATGCCGGATGTGGAGATGGAGTCGGTGGGGTCGGACATTTACCAACATATCCATGAGGCGGCGGAATACGACCCGGATGATCTATGGATGCCCGAACCACGGTGCCCTCAAGTAGCCGCGACCGGTGCGACTACCGGAGGGGGAAACATCACGCAGAGGATCAGAATCTCAGCGATTTCTGAGCTGAAAGAATTCTCAGGGAAGGATCGGGAAGAAGACAAAGCACGGACCTGGATCGGCAAAGTGAAATCAGCGTTTATCCGGGACCAAGCACCGGACGAGGAGAGATGTCTGGTCTTCGGTGATCTCATGGTGGGCCCAGCCCGCTACTGGTACCGACAGCTGAGTAGATCGAAGAGATTCAATTGGAAAGAATTGATGAACAGTTTTCTTGTGGAGTATGCGGGACACGGGATGTCCGCGAGCAGGCAATACTACCATGCAAAGAAACGATCGGAGGAAGATCCTTTACAGTACCTGTATCGGCTTAATGTGATGGGAATGCAGGCGAAGATACCGGTGATGACTGGATTGCCAGCTGCGCGCAAGGAACATGTCAATCATTTCATTGACACTTTGGACGACCCCGATCTGTCCAATCAATTGCTACTGCTGAATGTAGAAGACGCGGAGGCCATGCAAAAGACACTGCACGGATATCAACAAGGGAGATCGCGTCAAGGGAAAGTGATGATGGGATCGTCCAAATTCAGGCAGAAGGGAACTCAGGGTCCAGCGCTGTCTAAGCCTGCACGAGCGGTAAGGATGGTCCGTACCGAGGACGTCTGCAGCGAGTCAGGATCGGACACCTGCGGATCGGATTTGGAAGATCGATTGAGATCGATCCATGTGGCTGCTACCGCGGATCGCCGTTCATCCCCCAATGACGTTGCAGCAAACGCGAGATCGGTCGACCCGAACACTCGTCAAGATTATCAAGATCGCAATATGCCATTGAAGCCGTGTACTCATTGCGGATCGACCAAGCATGGAGATCTCGGTTGCTGGAAGCGGCTCACTTGCCAGAAGTGTGGGCGTAAAGGACACCCCTCTGACAATTGTTTTTTCGTGTGTCGTGCTTGCGGTGAGATGCAAGACCCGGGGAAGTGTCCCATGGAGGAGTTCTATAACATGATCCGTCAGTGGTACGTCCCGAATAAGCATGCGGGGATGCTACCAGAGAAGGCCGAGAAGATGTTAAACTAGGACGCTCGCCAGGTTTGAATCTGGTACGAGCCGAGCGTTCTGGGCTCTGCATTATTGCATACGTGGAAAAAAAGAAGACAGATCGCGAGAGTAAGCAGGATATTGACGTGGAAACAAATATATCTCGTTCGAAGTTAAAACGTGTCGCTTCCGTGTCCCATCTGAAGCGGATCGATGAGTACTCACGATCTGAACCAGCTATGGAGATCGAGCTCGCTTATGGTGAATCTCGCGGATACTGGAAACATTATTCACCCGGGAAGTGGTTCAAACAAGCGAAAGCCGTTGGCAAGATCAACAACGTAAAAGCTACTCTGTTATTTGATTCTGGTGCTGAAGTGTCGATCATTGACACCACCTTTGCTCGTGAGGTCGGTTGCAATATTGACGAAAGTCAACGACAAGAATGTATCGGGATTGGAGAAACTCCGTACATGACGGTAGGACGTACCAAGATCAAGGTGACCCTCGTGGGATCGCTGGTATACTATTTCAATGTATGGGTAGGCGATCTGGCAGGGCAAGAAGCGATTCTGGGTATGGATTTTATGGTGCCTGCTGGAGTGCGGCTCGATCTAGCGGATGGCGCGCTATGCCTACCAGAAGAAATCCGCATTCATCTCGCAGGACGTCGCCCCGCGTACGGATCGAAGATACAACACATAACGGCGAAGGACCAACACGTGGTGATCCCGGTCGGAGAGTCAAGGGAAGTGAAGATCGGTATCGGAGGGGCTAAGATGAAGTTGTGGGTCGCTAGAGGACTAGATTGGGTCCCCACTGTGATCTCGGGGTGGGGTAAGACGAAATACCTGCAGATGACCAACATTGGCGACCGGGAGATCATACTGCCCACCCACACTATATTAGGCATGTGGGTCGAAGGCGATATGGTACCGCGGACCCAAGGTTTGGTGACAGTCGGGTCGGGGAAGTACAAGGAATGGCAAACTCTGGCATATGAGGCTACAACGGATCGAGTGAACGAACTCCCGGAAGAACCGATCGGACCATTGGTAGATCGTCCTACGTATGCCGCTCCCAAACGCATCTTGAAACGTCCGTCTGATGCGTTACAGAACCTGTCTCCGGCGATCTCCACGGTAACGTCGCAAGCTAACGATGACGATTCGCAAAAGGCAGATGCTGTAGTTGCGAGGGAAGTAACGGTCAGGGGAGCCGAACTATCGCGGATGGAGAACGGTCATGAGATCGGTACCCAACATGCAACGAAGGGAGACCGCGACACCGGTCAAGAAGGGCTACGTGACAGATCGTCTCTACCGAAGGCTGAGCCGACTGACCGACTGTTGAAATTGGGCCAGCCGGAAGAGACGAAGGAGCCTAAAGGAGAAATAATACTAAATACTGAAGACGTCGAGATTGCAGAAATACCAGTTTATCACCACGAGAGCGGAGATTTGTTTGCGGAAGATATCGAGCAGCATATGGCCGTGCTACCAGAGATGTCGGCGACTACGGAAGAAGTTACAATTGAGGACATTCAGATCGGTGATCCCGATGTGCCTCTCACCACAGATCAACAACGGCTCAGATCGCTGATCTGGAAGAGCCGTCACCTCCTCATGGGTAAAGGTAATGCTCTACCACCCGCAGCACGAGGCGCGATCTGTGATATTGATGTCGGTGGGGCAGCACCGATAGCGCAAAAAGTGCGTCCGGTCGCACCCAAATATCGGGAGAAGCTGTCAGATCTCATCAAAGGACTATTAGCAGCCAAAATCGTTCAGCCATTCACGTCACCTTGGGCGTCTCCGATAGTGGTGATCATCAAGAAGAACGGAGTGGATATTCGCCTTTGCATTGATTATCGAAGAGTTAACCAGCTGACGCGTCTGATGGTTTATCCCATGCCGTTGATCAGCGATCTGTTGGAAGATCTGGATAAAGCTCTATGGTACTGTTCGCTAGACATGGCTAGTGGATTTTGGGTCGTCGAAATGACCGAACGAGCAAAACTGATCTCAGCGTTTGTCACACCGTTTGGCTTGTTCGAGTGGCTGCGAATGCCTTTTGGGCTTAAGAACGCGCCCCAGATCTACCAACGTCTGGTGGACAATGCGTTGTATGGATATCTCAAGATCGGCCAGAGATCAGCTTCTGATGGCCCGATCGACGTGTTCAAAGATGGAGAACCTGAGACAGATCGACGACCGTCTATACTGGGACGCCGATCTTACATTGACGATATTCTCATACCAGCCGCGTCATGGGGATCTTTGTACACAAAAGTAGAACGGTTGCTGGAGGCATGTGATAAGTGGAATCTGTCTATCAGCCTTACGAAGAGTTTTTGGGGGTGCCGTAAGGTCGATTATTTGGGACATCGAGTGTCTATGGATGGTCTGGAGGCTCAGCCCAAGAACCTAGAGTCGTTGGTTAACATCCCGTTTCCTAGCACGCTACGAGCTATGCAATCCTTTCTCGGGAGCTTGAACTACTACCGTCGCTTCATTGAGGATTTCGCGGTGTATGCCGCGGTGTTGTATGAGTTAAGAGAATCGGATTTCTTCGAGATCGGCCGATCTCAGCTTGCAGCAGGAGACGAATGCTCCAACGAGGGTCGATGGACGGAAGCCAAGGTTGCTTTCACTATGCTAAAAGCTAAGATAGCTACAGCTCCCATGCTCAAGCATTTCGACCCAGATCGGTCCCCCGTAATCGTGGTCTACGCTAGCAAGTGGGCTGTCTCAGCGGCCCTGATACAGGAGTACGATGGCGTGTACCATCCGGTGACGTTTACTAGCCGCACTTTAAAGCCTAATGAGCTTAACTACGGAATGGTAGAAAAAGAAGTTCTGGCGCTACTTCGTGTGTTGGATGTATGCTATACTACGCTTGCCTCGCGGGAGATCACTGTACTGACCCGACATTCTACGTTAGCCTGGTTGATGCAGTCTCGATAGCTCAACGGGAGATTAGGACGGTGGGCTGCTTTGTTGTCAAATTGGACTATGGAGGTGAAGAAATTTGAAAGAGGAGAGGAAGAAATCCTGGGCATGTTAGCAGCGAGTATCACTCCGAGAGGAGAGGTGGAAGAGATGCTGATTGCGATCTCCCCACGAAAAGACTGTCGACTCAAAATATCGATGCCTCCTCCAACGGTGGAAACAGATGAGGAGTTGCTGGTAGCCAGTTTCGATGGATCGGCTAGGATAAAAAGAAAGGAGGGTCGTTCAGTGCCGTGATATGGAAGTTACCCGAATGGACGATCGTGGCGGCCGAATCGAGATATGTTCACGATCTGACTGTGAATGAAGCTGAGTATAATGGCTTGCTACTGTGCTTTGAGTTACTCGCCGGTCTGGATAGGGGGCGAGTAATACTGTGTGGAGATTCCAGTCTGGTGATTCGACAGATGCGCGGTGAGATCGACTGCAAGGCACCGGGCCTTCAGCTTCTGAGACACAAAGCGTTGGAGAAGCTGCAGTCATGGCCTAGTCACGAGTTTCTGCATATGAAGCGAGAGTGGAATCAGAGCGCAGATCGACTAGCCAGCACAGCATTGCAGAGCGAAAAGGGAAAGAACGGTTGTAGCTGAAGAGGATCGGCAAGATCTGATGACTCTGAACCGTCTCGATGAATTGTTGAAGCCCAAGCAAGATGGTCAGCTAGCTCGGGTAACTGCGATCGCGAGATCAGCCAGGAGGATACGTCATGAACCTGAAGTGATACAGGAGGAGATAGTACAGAGGATCAGGATTCAACGAATTGTCCAAGCTCAAGATGAAGAGCGTTGGATTGTCAATCTCAAAACATATCTAAGTGGCGATGTATCAAACTTGGATGCGGTAGAAGTGAAGACGTGCGCCAAACTGGCGCCGGATTACGAGATCGATGAGAACAATCTGCTATTTTTTTGCCCCATGGCGAAAAGAGAGTCGGAAGATCGCGATGGTTTGATGCGGTTGGTGATCCCTGAGACGTTGCAGCAGGATTTTTTGCATCATTATCACACGAGTCTGGAAGGAGGCCATCAGGGTATTGGCCGAACCTATCAGAGGATCAGATCGCGATTTCATTGGAGAGGACTGTATCGGAGCGTTCAACGATATGTGGGCGAATGTACCGACTGTGAGACCGGGAAAGGAAACCCGATGATTAATGGGAAATCCCCGGGCAATCTACACGCAACCTATCCATTCCAGATCATCGCCATGGATCATATACCGTCGTTGCCCAAGTCCATCAAGGGGAACACCGAACTGCTCATTTGGGTCGACCTTTTCTCGGGATATGTGACTGCAAAGGCTAGCTCCTCTCGGACGGCACAAACAATAGCGGAGAATTACGAAGAATGTGTGTTTCGACGCTTCGGAGCTAGCGAGTCTATCAGGCACGATCGAGAACCGGGATTTATGTCCGACTTCTTTCGAGCCTTCAGTCGGATCGTAGGACAAAAACAGCGTGCTACTATGGCTTACAGGCCACAAGCAAATGGAACAGCCGAACGAATGGTGCAAACCCTGACACATTCGCTCAAGATGTACGTGGCTGAAGTTGACCAGCGAGACTGGGATGAGTATGCTGAGCGGCTCACCTTTGCCATTAACACTGCACAAGATCGGATCCGGGGGGATACCCCATTTTATCTGATTCATGGGTGGGACCCGCGATCGACTTTGGAGGCTACGCTACCAGTGGGGAATACGGGGACACGAGATCGCGATCCAAAGAGGTGGAGATACAAAATCCAAAGACAATACCTGCGAGCCCGATCTGCAGTGAACGATCGTTTACAAGCCGCGATCCAGGAGCGAGCGGATCGACACAACGAAGATCTGGAACCACACGAGATCGAAGTAGGAGCGCAAGTTTGGCTATACCTGGACCGAGTTAAAGAGGGATATGCGAAGAAGCTAGCGCACATGTGGCATGGGCCATTCCGAGTTGCGGACGTATGTGGAGATCATGCTGTAAAATTGGAGATCGCTGGAACTCCATATCGGTTATTTCCGATTGTACACATATCGAAGCTAAAAAAGGTAAAGACGTTCCCTGAACGCCCGAAGGATCAGCTTACGATAGAGGAATCAGATCGCTTGGATTTCGATGAAGCTCTGCTGCCGGAAGACAGTTGGGATGGCGATCTTGAAGAAGGGGAATACGAAGTGGAGGTAATATTGGACGTGCGATCTGGTAGAAAAACCCGTTATGGGCGAGTACACCGGCAGTTTCTGGTGAAGTGGAAGGGATATCCCGATCTAAGTTGGGTGGACGAGGCCGATCTACGTTGTGGGGCGATCTTGCAAGAGTTTGAGCGGAACCGAGTGAGTCGAAACCGTTTCGACGTAATGCAGTCTCATGAAGGCAAGTCGGACGAACCTTAACAGTTCGAACAAGTATGCGGGAGGTAGCATATGCGGATGTAGGGGTTGAAAGATGTGCTAGACGGTAGCACATGCTGGTGGATGAGGTTTTTGTATGTGAGTATGGAGATAGTCAAGTGAATTACCTTCCTGAATGATGTGGAGCGAGGAGGATCGAGATCGTGGAAGTTGCAAAGAATGGAAGTACCAAAAAAGAAGATGATTGAATGACTTACACGATTATGAAAGACGATCGGGCTTGGATATCGATCTTGGACTAAGACGATGGAGCAGGTTTGAACTTGTCCTGCAGACGAGGGATCTGCGATCCGGGATGATCCCAATAGGCGTTACGGAACTGGTTGCGCCAAGGATCCTCTTGGTCTGCCATGTCCAACGCCTCTAGCAAGTCAGCTGGGTCGTTAGAGTGTCCTAACCCTGGATACCAAACTCGGTCTTCATGTGGGCGCGGATAGTGGAGGAAGAAGGGATCTAGCAAGATGTCGAGATCACAGTGGCCAGCGATCATGCCGCTGAGTATCATCTTCAAGAAGTTCTTCCAACGCGCTCCAAAGCGAGAACGGCGTTGTTTTCGTTGGCGCCAGAATGTCTGCATGAACCGTTCAGATCGCCTTTGAGCCGGAGGAATCAAGAAAGCATGAGTAGATTCCCGCAGAGCTTGTCGATGAGTAGACTCAAGCTCCAGGTACCGATGACCCATATCACGATACCATCCAGTCATGGTGAATGATATCGGGTTCACTGGGACTATGATATTATCCCAAGGGGCTAAAGCATAAAGAGCCTCGATGTGCTGCCGCGAGATCAGCCCAGAAGCCCAAGTCCCCGTAGGCGGAGCTCGTCCATGATTGTAGAAGGGAAACAGAAAATTCCTGGGTTTGGAGTAGTGGTGAAACAACAGCTCAATGGTCATGGTCCTCACGCAAACCATCGCGATCCGCGAAACGGACCATAGAGCGATCTCGGAAGCTACCCGTCGGGAGGGCGCCAGATAGTTGGGAATCCACCGATCCCGTGGTTGCTGGAGTGGCGGAAGATTGTCGAAGTCCACGGAAGAGAAAACTCTGTTAGCCACTTGGCGTGCCGGAAGGGTAATGCTGTTTTCGCTATCGGACGAATGGCGATCCGAAAGCGCAGTAGACTCCGGAGGCGGACCAACAGAGCCAGTCTCGCTGTGTGTCTCCCCTGTTGGCGATACCTCCACGTCTTCTACGCCGCCATCATCTTGAATTTCGACTACGGGGACAGCCGCGACCGGAGTGGATGGGTACGAAAGATAACGAGGCTCCGGAACGTCTGGAGAAGGCGAACGCAACAGTGCTTGAGCCAACGCAGTAGCTGCGGGAGAAGCGGGAACAACCCGAGCGGCCGGAGAGGGGTTCGGGGTCGAAGATCGGGCATCCGATCTAGGTTGACGACGAGAGGCCGATCTCGATTGGGATAATGCAGCACGAGTCAAATCATCCGAGCTAGAATCCGACTCGGTCAGCTCCTCACTTCCCGATCCAGTCCCAGAAGCCGCGGACGAAAGCGGAGAACAAGAAGAATTGGGTGGAGGCTCGGGTGGGGCCAATCCGGGAAGTTTGTTTAAAGGTATTGAAGGGTTCAACGACAATAGCCGGGAAGCCACACGGGCGGTGGAAGAATCACTGGATTGTGACCTTGGTTGAATACGCCGACGCTTGGCAGGCGGGCCGGACGATCCCGATCTGGACCTACGGGCAAGCGATCTCGATCCCGGGGTAGTGGGAGCAGGGGCCGATCCGACCGGAGTAGCACTCTTAGGCGTCGATCGAGCGATCAACGCAGACGACCGGGATCCGAGTATAGCACTGTTCAGTGTGTCGAGGAGAGCTCGGTGTTCAGCTATAGCCTGATCCCGATCATGCTCCACCACCTGCAACTGGTCGTATATCTCGAGGTGTTCCGCAAGCTGACGACGTAGGTTGGCGTTCTCCGCCTGCAAAAGTGCCAACTGACCCTCTAGGGGAGTCAAACCATCCACTTGTTGCATGAGATCGCTGATCGAAGACAGTCCATCTGCGATCTCCTCCTGAGACTGAGCCAATTGCTCCTTCAAGTGCAAAATATCTATGTGAAGGAAGGATTTGTCCATGGTCAGCTGATCACGCTGCTGTCGGAGAGAGTTGAGTTCGGCTTGGAGCGAATAAAGCTGAGCCCTCAAAGCATCCACCTGTCGTTCCAAGTTCCCCTGAGCCTCGTCGTTGGCACATATCAAAGTGCGTAGCCGACGAATCTCCTCCGATTGATCTCGATATGTCCGCAGAGCTCGATGGCAATCACTCAAAGAATGCACTGCGTCGACGTAGCGGCCCTGCATCCAGTCATATCGAAGCTGGACGAAGGAGACAAAAGGAGCGGCTGATCTGTATAGCGAATCAAGCTCGTCTTGTAAGCGATCCCCCCGGACGACGGCATCTCGGTAGGATTGCTGGAGTGCATGAATGGTGTCGGCTTGGCTGCAGAAGGTAGCCTCTCGATCCCACAAATACGAGATCGTGGCCATCGTGAGACGAACGTCGTCGGCAGAGACTCTGGGAACGAAGTCGGTGACG